GGGAGAACTTTCGTTTTAAACGATCCTCTTCATCAAGCTCCCTCTAGATCGTCATATTGAGGTAAGGAGAGTTCTATCGCATCATTGGAATGTAACAAATATTTGTATTCTTGAAACCTCAGTAGTATTCTTTTCTTGTTGTGAATAAATATATTAGAATAAAGTTTGGGTGTTGTGATAGGTTAATGGGGCATGTTTCTCTTATCTTAGATGATTTGGTTGATGTATAAATTATTTTTAGAACGTAGGAAATATAATTCGTTGTAATACTCGAATTGAGCTGAGTCTAAAGGTATTTGATCTCTGGCAAATTGATTGACTGATGATTGGATTATATGTGTGAACAGCATGATAATGTGGTTATTGATTTTATTTTGAATATATATGTGAGAATGAGTTAAAGGACAGAACAATATGTAGCAAAAATATATGTGTAATATGTATTGCTCTGAAAATATTTAAATAGAACTAAATCTAGAAGTGTTAAACCTTAATGAGACTGGAGAATCGTGAGATGTGTTATAACACATGAGTTGTAACCAATTAATTAATGTGATTATAATACAGGTATTGTGATGCATCGACGAGTGTATTTGCAATATATGTACCGTAATATATTAAATTACGTGGTTATAACACATGTATTATAATATACTGATCTGTGAATGGTGTATAGATTGATGAGAAAGGAATTAGTATGAATAACCACAGCGATACAATGGGAGTATGAAATATTTAGCCGATTATGGAAGTCTGGGAGAAACGTAGGGTAATGAATGATATTCGCTTGAGTGTGCACAATTTATAAAACTACAAATACATCATATGGCCACACACTCATTTTTGACTAACACTCATGACTATACTTTTGATAAGGAGTCCTATAAGTGTGTATGTTGTATCATTATGCATGAGTTAACTGACAGCTATTTACCTATTGTGTAAGACCTCATGAAATGCAAGGCATCTATGAAATGTGATCACGTTGCATGAGAAATTGTGAACTAATAATTAAGAGAATTAAATATGTCAATGATATGTGTAAAGGTGTTGATGTATTAGGTGTATGATTAATAACATGGTATTATTATTGATTCTATATGAATATGATGTATAGATTATCATAGAAACTGATGTACTCATCTTTGCATACGAAATTTAAATGTTTTACAAATGTATAAAATATATCTGTTGTTTATGTCTTAATGATAAGAAAGGAATTCATCCTTACAAAAATTTCAGGACACAAGAATGACAATTAGGATCAGACTCTCAGCGTTTGGGTATGGATCATAACTGCTCTAAAAATTTTGCTTATTTTGACCATATAATGATGTATTCCGAATCAAATATGTATTTAGTTAACAGTCTGTAAAAAATATACTTTTACCTATAATTTAAATTCAATATTTGTACATTCCATATTATTTAAATTTAGGTATTATTATGAAAAGGTAGTTAAATTTTGATTATTTTATTGTTTAAATTCATTGTGAATATGTTCAATCAAGAAAGGTTTCAATTTTTAAATATTTATACTACCTAATTTGATGGAGAATCGATTTATTCTTTTGATTTGTAACAAATTATTATTTATTTTTAGAATTTTAAAAATAGGATGTTACATTTTTACTATAAAAAAGGCGCATGAAATTTGTATTTTCTTTTTAGTAATTTAGAAAAGCTTGAGATTCAAATTACAAACTTCTCGTAAGCTTAGCATTTTTCATTAGAAAAAGACCTATTATAATTCTATTTCATTTTTGTAATTTAGAAAAACTCTCATACTTAGCACTATTAATGCTTTTAGCCCCACATTGAATAAATATAACATATATGTTGAATTTATTTTTTGTTGACGTCTTAAAGTGATTGAACTAGTTTAAGAGGTTAAAATTCTAAAGTTCTTAGACCTGTTAGGCTTGGGAAAAAAAAATTATTAGAAAAAGGCCCATTAAATTTGTTTTTTTTTTTTTTGTAATTTTTGAAAAATTCCCATACTTTGCATTCTTCATGCTTTAGTCCCACATTGAATAATTATTACGTATATGTATAATTTATAAATTGTTGATACCTTAAAATAATTGGCCAAGTTTAAGAGATTAAAATTCCAAAGCTCTTGAACTTGTTAGGATTAGTGTTTTTTTATTAGAAAAAGAACCATTAAAATTGTATTTTTTTTAATTTAAAAAAAGGCCTGTTAAAGTTGTATTTTATATTTGTAATTTTAAATAATGTGACATTTAAATTCTAAACACCTCTTAGGCTTGACGTTTTTCATTAGAAAAAGTTTCATGAAATTTGTATTTTATTTTTGTAATTTAGAAAAATTTTGTTATTATGCATTCTTCATGTTTTTATTCCTACATTGAATAATTACAACATATATGTAAAATTTATTTGTTATTGATGTCTTAAAGTTATTAGTCATTTTTAAGAAGTTAAAATTTCAAAGTTCGCGAACCTGTTAAGCTTGACATTTTTTCTTATTTTAGTCTCACGTTGAATAATTATCTCATATACGTAGAATTTATATATTGTTGATGTCTTAAAATAATTGGACAAGTTTAAAAGATTAAAATTTCAAAACTCTTGAACCTGTTAACATTGGCCTTTTTTTATTAGAAAATAAACCATTAAATTATTTTTTTGGTAATTCAGAAAAACGCAAGATTCAAATTCTAAACACTTCCTAGGGTTGGACTTTTTTTAATTAGGAAAAAGCCCGTTAAATTTGTATTTTATTTTTGTAATTTAAAAAAACGCAATATTCAAATTCTAAACACCTCTTAAACTTGGCAATTTTTTTATTAAAAAAAAGTGCATAATTTTTTTTTTATAATTTAGAAAAACTTGAGATTTAAATTACAAACTTGAAATTTTTTATTAGAAAAAGGCCCATTATAATTCTATTTTATTTTTGTAATTTAAAAAACCTCTCATACTCTGCATTCTTAATGCTCTTAGTCCCACATTGAATAAATATAATATATATGTAGAATTTATATATTGTTGATGTCTTTAAATTGATTGGCCTAGTTGAAGAGGTTAAAATTCAAAAGTTTTTGAATTAAATTTGTAATTTATTTTTTTTTGTAAATTTTGAAAAATTCCCATACTCCACCTTTCATGGTTTTAGTCCCATATTGAATAATTATCTCATGTGTGTAGAATTTATATATTATTAATGTCTTAAAATAATAGGTCTAGTTTAAGAAATTAAAATTCCATAACTCTTGAACTTGTTACCATTGACATTTTTTTATTAGAAAAAAATTATTAAATTTTTATTTTTTTAATTTAAAAAATGTGAGATTTATATTCTAAACAACTCTTAGGCTTTACTTTTTCAATTAGAAAAAAGCCTATTAAATTTATATTTTATTTTTTTAATTTTAAAAAATATGAGATTCAAATTATAAGGATCCTGAAACTCTTAGGCCAAGTTAATTTTAATTTATAAAAAATATTTGATTCCTTTTATTTTTATATTTTTCTCTCATAAATACGCATTCCGTGAAAGATCTTGTATCAACATACAAATCATCATGTAAATTAAATATGTAATATTATATTATATATTTAAAATTTAAGGTTACATGTTAACTTAAATTAATCATAAAAATGAAACTAAAGTAATATAAATGTTTCTTAGATAACACGATATTTAATAACGTGATATTAAACTCGACGTTGATGCTTTTAACAAAATTTTTAGTCTAACACGTTAGGAAAAAGATAACTTTCTTAATATTTAGTGAATATTGTAGCTGGAATCTACCGTGGGTAACTATATTCAGTAACGCATATGTGAGTGAGCAATTTGTGGTATTAGATTTATTTCAAAATTGTTCTGTTTTATTTGGTTTGTAATAATCAGTTATTTTGCTAATATATAAATGAGTCATATGACAATTAACTCATGTTATTCATCACCTATTTTTTACATAATTATTAAAAAATTTAAACAATTACGTAAAAGTGGTGGCTGGAAAGTTTCCCTTCAAAGCAGGAATTATAAGAGGAATTGGGTGGCTCGCTCTAACTTTGGGGTTGAACGAACCTGTTTGGGTAGATGTGGAACCATTATTTCCATTCTGTATGCTAACCCCAGTGAAACAGGGAACTAGGTCAAATTTGATTTCCTCTCTTTTTATATTGGGAGTTAGCAGCAACAAGTCTGTGCCTAACCCCACTTCTTGTTCATTTCATTTGATGTGTAATTGTAATTGGTCCAAGTTTCAACTCCTTCTCTTGAGTCTTGGACGGGCAACTATATTTTATTACTTCACTCATTTATCATTTTTCCTTTCATTAATGCATTTTATTCAAAATTATAACAGTTTCTTTTTCTTTTTTATTTTTAATGTAGGTACGTTGCAACTCTACCAAACTTGACTTTATACTTAGTACGCCTTTGGTTACGCGTTAAAAGCAAGTCATACGTGCGTTTAACTGGACAATCCAACGCTACCCAATAATGCTCGCTCGGTACTAACACGTCTTTGGTTTTGTTGGGTACTGAGCATTAGTCCATCCTATGTGATAAGAACAAAATTTATGTTTAGTATATAACAATGGTTAGTACTTTTTTTTTAAAATATATTTTTTTTATTAATTAATTTTTAAAAATAATGAATAAAATAAGCATTTTTTTTTTAAAGGACCAATCACAATAAATTTATTAAAAATGTGAAAAAAAAAAAGTATTATTAGCATTTCCTTTGCATTCATTTACTGATTTCATCTGGCTCTGTCCTTCGACCCCTTACGTTACGGCGCGTTAAGCCCTTTTCCTTTCTCCTTCGTAGATTGAACTTTCGTATGCTCCAACATAAGGAATTTCAATGCACCCCCAACTTGTTCCACCTTGGGGACAAGTTCAGACGCGAAAACCTCACCAACTTGACATCACAACACAATATATAAAATCATCACCCCTCACAAAATGTTACACACAATCTTGTGCACGAGTGTTCATTTAATTTGTATCAATTTTCTCAAGGTTTGATATTATGAGGGGGAACATAGAATTTGAGCGTGTTGTTAAATATTTTGATGAAGATGGGGACGGTAAGATTTCCCCATCGGAGCTTAGGAACAGGATGGGCATGATGGGTGGTGAGTTATTGTTCAAAGAAGCTGAAATGGCTATTGAGGAGTTGGATTCGGATGGTGATGGGTTGTTGAGTTTGGATGATTTTGTGAAACTGATAGAAGCGACAGGAGAAGATGACAAATTGAAGGACTTGGAAGAAGCTTTTGAGATGTATAATGACACTGAAATTTGTGGCTTTATAACACCCAAAAGCTTGCAAAGGATGCTTGGTAGGTTAGGAGAATCAAAATCCATGGAGGAATGTAGAGCTATGATTGGCCACTTTGATTTGAATGGGGATGGCCTTCTTAGCTTTGAGGAATTTAGGATCATGATGCAGTGATGAATGTTTGATTTATATTTTGGTACATATATCTAGTATCTCGATTCATTTTTAGGATTTTGTAAGATTCAATTATTTGTTGATCCATTCATATATTACATTGCTCTGAGTCTGATATTATTTTCTGGCACTTTTCATATTTGTCCCATTCTCTTCACCTTGCAAACGAATTCATTGGGTGTGGCTGGTAGTGGCAGTGTTAGTGGAATCATAACAACTGAAGATAAGCATGCCCCCATTATACGCACCCAAAAAATCTATTAATTTAATTCATAAAATTTCTTGCATCTTTATTTTACATTGACTAGTCAGTAGGCATACTAGGCAGGTGCTTTAATAGTTTTTTCCTTATATTCTAGCATAATAAAACTACCCATTATAAAGTCCAAAAGAAAAAAAATAGCAAGTATTTGGTGCAAATAAGGGAAATTTTTTATTCAAATTAAGTTTAAAATAAAATAAAATAATTAAAAGTATAAAATATATTAATATATTTTCTTGAATTTGCTTATTTATTATTATCCTTTAATTAATGTACGATATGATTATTTTTATTTTAATTGTCAATATTTAATATTCTTAATTTTATAATTATTTAAATTTTTTTACCACAAAATTTTATCTGGTATTTAAAAATATTATCAGAAAATGTGACATAATTTATATGTAAAATTTAGTAATATATATATATATAAATAAATAAAAATAAAATATTTCAAATGTTTCACAAATCTTTATTTTTACTTAATTGTTTTATATATAATTTTCTTTTGTGGAGCCATACAACACATAGTATCTCAATTATATATTTATTAAATATTAGATAACAATTTGAAGTAAACAGCTTTTTTTTCAAAAAAATTATAAAAATTAAATCTAAATAATTAAAACTACGGAGATAAAAATTAAATCCCATATTGATTAAAGTACAAATATTTTAAGTTAAATCAAATCTATGTATAATTCAAAAGAGTTAAATATACTATTAAAATTTACTTTTAGTTCTTATAATTTATTTTTTATTTTTAGTTCATAATTAATGTAAAATATTTTCAATTAGTCCATATATTTCTCTTAATTACTAATTTAGTTAACAGAGTTTTGTGTCATCATATTATGCAAAAGTATTATTTTTTTTAATCTCTTATCATTATTAAAATTCACTTTTAGTCCATCAAAATAAATCTATTTTTAGTATCTGTTAAGTTATGAGATATCTTGAAAAAGACAATACTAAAAAGAAAAAGAGACAAAGAGTTTAGAGCAAAACAAAAGTATATTGATTTGTTAATTAGAATTAAATTGAGAATTTATACCATGAATTATAACTAATAACTACTAATTGTTATTTGCATACATCCTAACATCTTCCTCAAACTTAGAATTTGATAACTCAAGAACTCGAAGTTTAGAACAAAGCTTTGAAAACTTTGTATAAGCTATTTGGTAAAGTTGCAACAATGTAATGCGCTACAATTTATTTGCTTCGAGTTTTTTTTCTGACAAAGTGAAGATCTAATTCAAAATATCTGGTTCTATTGTAAAAAATTGAATTGAGAGAAATGTTAATAGAGAGGTGAACAACACTTAAATTATTACAATAAACGGTAGAAATTGAAAGAATTAAGATTGAAGTTCTAGTAATAGAGATTTTATCCAAAGAAGTTTAACTATTGTTGCTCAAAATATATGTATTTTACTTTTGTATTTGATCTACTCACCACTTGTTGCTTTTTTGAAGACCAATTAATAATGTTATCAAATAGATACAAAATCCAAAAATTGATTTGTGATCATCTGGGTCTGTTCTACAATATGAGGCACAATGGATTGTGAGATGAAAGTTTTAGTAAGGTTTGAGTAGGAGTTTGAGATTTTGAGTTTTGTGAAGATATCTAAGGATTCCTTTCATTGCTTTCTAATAACATTATGACAGGTGTTACATAAACTGACACACTTTGTTTACACATTAGGTTATATCTAATATGGTTAATGTAATATATTGAATTGCTCCTATAATAGATTTGTATAAACATAGATCATAAAATATAGTTCATTTGTGGATAAATAATTTTAGCCTTAAAAACATTGGTATAGAAATAGGCTTAAATCTTCTGTGTATTTTGTTTAAGAAAAGTGCATTGTCCTATTTGAACTTTGAGCAACCTCTATACCAAGAAAGTAGTGCAATTGACTCGTGTTGTGAGACCTTGATTCTTATATGTATGTGCAAACATACATACATATATATATATATATATATATATATATATATATGAATATATTTAATATAAATGGATAATCTTTCTAGTCATACAATCACATTATAACCCCATTGATAGACGATTACCGAGTCGCTATTAAAACAACTAAGTTTTCTAAAGATTTTGTAGTATAGAGTCAAACCTAGGTTGATTCACGGAAACACATTTTCAGTCAAATTCAATTTTATGTTTTCTTTTAAAAATGCAAATAAGGTTTTTGGAGTTTTGAAAATTGTAATTAATTAAATTAAATTATGAACAGAATTAAAGTGAGTTAAAAAATAAATTAAGAAACATCAATCCACAGAATACCAATTGCGTGTAACTCCGACTATTACAGTATCTAAAGATTTAAATCCACGTTTCAACAATCACTCGATTCAATTATTAATTCAATCGAACAACCTAATTAAATAGAGTTATAAATTAAATCAAATAATTATTTAACCTAATTCGCATTAATTATCAAATTAGAGCCTCAATCGAGTCCTAATTTGAAATCTAATAACAGAAAAGTCAATCACAATCGTAATAAATAATTCTAAGATTAGAGAGAAAAAGAGAACAAACTCGGAGCAATTAGCGCAAAACTCAAGTCAGAATTACAATGTTTGGATTTCGCGGATTGAATGAGAGATTTAGCCTTCCATCAAAACGCTTAACCCATGCAAGAATGAGAAAAGAACAAGAGAGTTCAAGAGAAAGTAAAAACAAGAATTCTTATTTTAGTCAAGTCTCAAAAGCTCAAAGTGTCTAATCACCTCAAATTCAGAACCTTATTAGTCTATTTATAGGTTCTGATTAGGGTAAATTAAGTGGCCAAAATGCAAGTCTCAATAATATCTAAAAGCCCAAATACAATTATTAAATAACAAGGGTCCAAATGCAATTCTGCAATAATATTCAGCAAATCTGCCTCAACTTCAAAAAATCATGAAAAATTGAAAACAACTCCAAATCCAGCGATCTATATATGCATTTTGAATTCCTAGATGTGTAGAATCCAACGCAACTAGAATCAGACAAAAATGATATCTGTAGAAAAAGTTATGACCAAAAGAGTAGTCAAAGGTTAGAATAACCGAAAATACAAAATTAAAGCATTTATTTGTAATAGGCCCAATTTATTCAAATAAGTAGAAAATGGTAAAAATTATAAAAATAAAGCATATGAAAAGTATTTATTAATCAAAATAAAAAATTAAATGTAAACATAAAATATGTTACATCAAATTCTCCTGCACTTAAGATTTTGCCCTCCGGGGCAAATCACAAAATCAAACCATAGGGGACCTAAAACAAATTAGGTTATATAATTATATTCTATTTTATATAATTATACGTTATGCTTATTGAATTCAGTTTTAAATTTATGTGATGATGATTTGTTCATTGTACCGCTTGATATGGAATGTATGTTCTTACTGATGTTTGGAATGATATATGAAAAAGGGAAGTGGACATTGTGAAACTCATTTGAGATGAATGGAAAATTTTAGATAGTTGATAATGGAATGGAAGGATTGAAAAGATTATGTGCCAAGTTGTTACTTTCTTACCTCTAATGTTGATAATGATTGATTGCCTCCATACTTTGGATAAGTTAAATGGTGGATTGTTACGAATAATGTTGAGATGAGAAAAAGGGAAAAGAGTAATTGCGACCCCTTAGAATATGTCTATGTATAAAGATGAGATATGGGAAATTGTGGTTGATTCCTCCATGATACTGCTTGAGAATGTTGAATGATGATGTTCTAATGACTATTGAAATGATTATATATACATACATATGTGTTTCATTAGAAATTGATATTGGACTCAATGATGTTAGAGCTTTATCAATTTAGGTGTTACACGAGTATTTACTACTCATGCCCGCCTTGCCCCAATGACATCCTTACCTCATGGGCGAGTTTAGGAATAAGCCTACCATGATCATGGTAATGATTGCTTAAGTCAAGATAGCGAAGGTTTGTAGTGACTAACCTAATTAACAGGGAGCTATTTTGTGCCATTGGGGCATTACGCTTAAACCATCGTCAAGATTCTACTAGAACCTAGACACCGAAGCTTCCACAATTGTACCAAACTATATCTTTCTTGACCTCGTTACCATACATATGATGCAGGTGCCACTCATTGTAACGCCCCAAATTTTGGTAATATTAATTATTGTTATTTATATAAATCTAAATGCATATATATATATATATATATATATATATATATATATATATGTGTGTGTGTGTGTGTGTGTGTGTGTTGATTTAATTGATAATGATATTTTTGTGCGTAATAAGTATATGGACGTGTGTATTGTGTATATGCATGACTGGTTGGGCTGAAATGGGCTAAGTGTCTAAGTACAAGGCGAGATACTGGGTTGTTCTCTCTGTAGCGAGAAGGCCCTGGGAGGAAGGACTGAAACTGTCACTTTCTTGCTGTAGCGAGAAAGCGACAGTTTGGGGTGCATTTTTGGGTGCAGTCTCACTGCAGCGAGAGGGTCTCCCTGTAGCGAGATTCTGCAAAAATCAGAGTGCAGTTTTCTCTAGTTTTTTCGCTGTAGCGAGGGGAGAATATCTCACTGTAGCGAGAGTGTCGCGACCAGAAAAAGATTTAAAGGGGACTAGGGTTCGGAGAAAGTAATTTCTCCCTCTCCCTTCAAAATCCTTTCGATTCTCTCACTCTCAAACCATATTCCACCGATTAATTGCCTCTAAAGTCGTTCGGGAG